AATGATTGGGTATGCAATTTAAAGAATATTTTTAGCGTTCAATATATAAATATATATATATATAATATAAATATACTAACATGATTGAATTTTTGGATTAGAATATATATATTTAAAATGATATTATTATTAAAGTCAAAAAGAAAAGATGCCATAAAGATTACAACTTTGGAAAGTTTGTAAACATTAATTTAGGAACCATCCGATTTTAAATGATTTTATAATTTTTGAAACAAGATACGTGCATCTAAAACCCATTAATTTAGGAACCATCCAATTTTTTGATAATGAATTAAAATTAAAACGTAAAATAAAGAAATTGCTGAAAATAGTATATAATGAATGTGGTTTGACTTTTCTTACTAATATTTTTGGTAAATGTTAATTCTTATTGTGTATATATATATATATATATATATATATATATAGAGAGAGAGAGAGAGAGAGAGAGAAGGGATCATATGAGAATAGTAGATAGTGAAAGAAATAAAAATGATTATAGACCATTAGATCGGTACGATCAATGGACATAATTAAGTCAAAATTAAATAACAATGGTCAATTCATTAATGGCAAAATCGTAAATACATAAATATTCATGAACAAATAATTACATAAGTGGGTATTTATGTAATTCACATACACAAAAATAAATGGGACCCACACGTATATCATAAAAGCAGATTTATCTCTCATCTCTCTCTATCTCGTCGTCTCTCTCTCTCCCTCCCTCTCTCTCACACACACACGCACCATCACAGATCGATCTCTCCACAGGCTGCCGGAAAAATTCACACCACCGGCGACAGTCACACACCACATACAGCCACCGTCCGCCGGCAGCTCACACCACCGCATCAAGCCCCGTCCGTCATGTTGCCGCCGTCGACATTCTGTTGCTATTACCGTCCGGCGATTCCGTTAGCCCGTCCAGAACTCACGGCGACGGCGAGAGCTTCAATATCGACGGCAACAATCGCCGACCTTCAACAGACCACCATCTCGCCTCCGCCTTCCACCACCAGTTCGCCTCTTAGCCCGATCTGTCCGTTCACCCCAGCTCCGACTCTCTAGCGTAGGTGAAACTGCAGCGACGGGTAGCCAGAAGTCCGAGATTTGTGGATGAGGTTGATGGCGGCAGTGTGTTTGGATTGTTTTTTATGATTTGTGCAATTTGGGGCCGATTTTCCATGTAGCGACGACGAGGATGGCGGAGATGCAACGGGTTGACGGTGACTCCGGCCGAGACGCGGCGGACTGACGGCTACTCTGGCGGTCAGTGGATTGGTAGCAGTGTTGTGGGCTGAGGACGAGGGATGGGAGGTGTTTTTGGGGATGGGTTTGGTTTTGATAAATTAGATGTATTTGAGGGGCTATTTTGCAATTTGTAAACTTTTATTTAATACATCTATATTTTTTATTTAGGGATGACAATTTATAATTTAATGAAGATCAATTTATGAACACTAATGACACCTTAAATGCACTATATTAAATGCATTATAATGATAAAGAATTTAATAATATTGTATTATATATGAGAATTGTAACTGATATTTTTTAAGAGTAAAAATCATGTAATCGACCCAAAAAATATAAAATTTTGAAAAATTTAGTTGGTCGAGTTTCGATATATTGTGCAATCAGTTAGGTGTTAAGTGCAACTCGTCTAATGTTTGAAATCGAGTTGTAATAGATATAATTGTACATCGAATTAGCTTAAATAATTAAAACATTTTGTTGTTTATTATTATAAAAATATATTTAGAATTTTATATATTTTTATATTATTTTTTGGTTAAAAAATTATAATTTAAATTTTAAAAATTACATTTTTATGGAATTTAAATATATATATATATATATTTTATATTCATTTTGGGCAGCACATACGCTAAAATAAAATATCTCGAATTTAAAAAATTGCAACCTGACAGACGTTAATGTGCACGTTTTTGGGCCGCTATGTGCAGTCTGTAAGGACCGAACATTCTTCCAACCAAATTGAAACCGAACATTAACGTGCATTTCAATTTTAATTTTTTTTTAATAATGTGTATTTAATTAAAATTAGTGTGCACTTATCAAATTATTTGTGTAATAACAATATATTTAATATTTATAATTTTTGTATTTAATATTTTATATTATTGATCTAATTAACATGACCGTGCATTTGTTATGCTAAAGTGAAATTTCACTAAAACAAAAGTGCAACCAGGCAGTTAGTAATGTGCAACATGTTTAATAATATATTAATATTTTCTTTTATTTGTATTTAACTTTTCTTTTTATTATTTTATGTTTTTAAAAGATATATAAAAATAGCATACTTTTATATACTTTTGTAAATTACAAATTTGACACAAGTGTTAAATTGAAATCTAAATAAATTTATTAAATTTACAATATTATATTTACAAATTTCTAAAAACTACAAATTCAACCCATGAACTAAATTGTATATTGAAATTTATGAAAATTGTAATCACGCCTCTATAAGATTTCAAAGTCTCAAAAAACAAGCCCCCCAATTTCAATCTCAAATCATCCCGTCACCTCAGCCCCCCAACCCCCTGTACTTGCCGCCGGTGACCTATTCTCCGATGGTGGACGGTGGACGAACGGCGACCGCGACGGGATGGAATGACGACCACGATGGTGAAGGTGGCGGGTCGGAGGAGTCTTCACCCTCTACACTTGCAGACGGCGAAGCTCTGCGGTGGAGGAAGTGACAGAGACATCATGGTCAATTTCTGACGGAGGGAGGACGACGACGACTAGAGCTCCGGCGCCGGACCAGACGACAGCGTTTGGAGTGACAGTCGGCGGCGTTGAGCAGAACTGCGACGGAGAGATTGAAGTCGACGGCGGATGATGGAGCTCGACCTGTGGGATGGTGGTGCCGCGACCATCCTGTTCGCGGGCTCCGTCGACGTCGTTTCAGTATGCTTCGGCGGCAGCGTTACAGTGCGATCCGGCGACTGGCGTTAAAGTGGGCTCCAGCGATCGGTGGTCACATGCTGCGGCGACGATGGCTGGGCAGGGTGGCGGCCGGCGATGACTGGTAATGTGTGTGTGTGTGTGTAGTGTGTGTGTGTCATGAATATAAACTCTGTGTATGTATTGTGTGTGTATGTGTTTGCTGAAGTGTGTGTGCGTGTGTTGTGCGTTGTGTGGCGTGTGTTTTATGTGTGCGTGACGTGTGTTTGGTGTGTGTGGTGATGATGTGTCATGGACCTACTAATGAGTTGGATAAGTGGATGGTATTGGTAATGTCTAAAATACCCTTAATGAAGGTATAATTTTTGTTTTTTTTAGCCATTAGATCATCCGATCTAATGGCTACGATTTATTCTCATTTCTTTCATTGAGAACCATTCTCATGGAAACCCAACCCTATATATATATATATATATATATAGAGAGAGAGAGAGAGAGAGAGAGAGTGAGAGAGAGAGGGAGAGAGAGAAAGAGAGAGAGAGAGAGAGAGAATTGCACTCAAAAGAGAATGAATCATATTGAAAGAAAAAAGAATAGATCTAAACCATTGCATTCATCTGGTTAACGGTCATGATCAAGTCAAATTTTAATAATGACAGTCGAACATGTAGTGACAATATAGTAAGTAAGTGAAAATTTTTGAAAATCAGAGTAAAATTTTTCTTTTTCTTTTTATTTTCGATATCACTTAATATTTTTCGAAAACATTTTAAACTTTCTCGCGGGATGCTACCCTTCTTATTTTTTCTGGAAACTGTTTTCTTTTCTCTTTATTTTCAAAGACAATAAAATAGCATAAATGCAATCAAACCAAACCACTCCTGTGTTAAAGTACCATAGAATTACTAGAATTACTGGAAATAAAACATGCATAGTTCATGGCTCAAGTCTGAAAGCGGAAGCTAAAAATACATAGTTCATAAAATGTTCCTAAACTGCTAAGAACATAATGTTTTTCAAAAGAAATTCTAGACCACCATTACTGCCGCTCACGCTCCGCGCTGGACTCCATCACCTAAAAAAATAGACAGTAGGGGCGTGAAAAAAAACCACTATGGTCTGCAGAAATCAGTACTAAAGTACACATCTAATATAATAACACATCATGAAATAAACATATACATAAGTAAACTGACTGCTTGCTAACTCCCGGACTCTGGCCGGTAATCATGTGCACACTCTGGGGGTTGCTTCCCACAGAACCTACGACGGTACGCTTACCCTCATCCAGGGGATAAATAACTGGACCTAGGACGGGTACAGTCACTACCATCCAGGTCTTTGCCTACGCTTGGGCAAAAATTCTTACATACATACCTCAAACATGATAATGCGATTATAGAAAAATGCAGCACTCAGTACGGGGTTATGCTGAATACGCAAGTGCTGAAAGGATCGTAGCTGTCGGAGGCTCGACTCTCCTTAAGTTACAAAATTTTAAGCAAAATATTTTCTAGTCTTTAAATTACTTAACTTAAAATACCTTATTCTTTAAATTCTTAAAAATTATTATCTTAATTAATAAATTTTTAACTTCTCTTTACTTAATTGTTCTCACTTAGTTGTTTGCTCGTTAGGCTAAAATTTATTTAAATCTTATCTTCTTAACTAGCTTCTTAACTGCTTGTTGAACATAATTTAATTAACATGCTAAGTTAATTCATTTCTATCTTGAAGTTGTCTACGGTTCTCGAATAATTTTTCTAAGTTCGGAAACTATGTTTTCTAACTTGGACCAGACTGACTCGGCTCGAAAATGTTTAAAGTCCCAGATCACGCTCGAACTGGAACCTCAGACCAGAAGTCCTCGAACCGCCTGGTTGACCGGGACCGGTTCACTGTTGGACCAACGGCTCGCTGGTGAACTGGCCTGTCGCTTGCTGGCTCGGTGTAGCCTGGTTCGACTACACTTGGTCTTGCTGGGAGCGACCACTCTTATCCACGCAGACCCTACTGGGCGTTGACCTCGCTGGGGGCACCTGCATGACTCCTGGGCGATGGGCTGCGGCTGGCAGGGTGCTGGGGCGCGGTTTGTAGGGTGCTGGGGCGCTGTACAAGGCGCAGAGCAGACGGTCTTGGTGCATGGGAACTCCCTCAGCAGCAGCCTGGCGACGGTACTGCTGTTTGCAGTGTGCACTGCGGGGCGTGCTGCGACCTTGCTGCGCACGCTGACGCACGCGCTGCTGCGGCCTTGGCAGGCGATCGGCCGATCTCCGGCGACCCTTGGGTTATTATGATCCATGTGACATTAGAGTTCATTTATGCTAAGACTGATTGGGAGACTTCGTCTAGATTTGTAAGTTTGCCTATGCTCATTTTTACTTATTTCAGCTCTCGAGTCTTACTTAATTTCTTTCAAAATGTCTGGGGCACCAAGAGCTGAGCTAACATACTTTAATAATTTAAGGCCTTTGGTTTTATATGGCTCGAAAAAATTCACTTAGAACTCAAATTCACTCGGCCCCAAAAATTGGTCAAACTAGGGTTCTTGTTTACCTAGAAATTTAACTCATTTTAAGACAACACTTCCGCCGTGAACTTAACATAATTTATCATGATTTTAGGCATAAAAATCTCAGTATGAACTCACATGCATTTTAAATTTCATTCGACATCAATTTAAGTAAAAAATCTCGGTTCTAGTTGCCCTAGCAAATGACCTCATATTAAACGAAAATTTTAAACACAAGCTCAACAAAATATTTCATGATTTTAGAAGTTTAAACCTCAGTCTTTGCTCGCATGCATTTTTAAATCTGAATTTAAGCATATAAATGGCATTAATTCTTAAACTTCTAAATCTTTTATATTTTACTTGATTTCTTTGTTCTTATATTATTTTTAACTTATTTCTAAGACAAAAAAAGGTTTAGGTTGGGCCTACCTTCTTCGGGGTTCAAACGAAGGAAAAATTGAGTGTTTGAGAGCTTGGTGCATGCGTGCGAGTCTCGGCTTCCCTCGGTGACACATGCAACTTTGGGGGACCTCGGCGTGTGGCTTGCTCAGGGACTTGCGACATGCGGGAGCTGCTCTGGACGGCATGCAGGAGCTGGGAGCCTTAGGACGTGCGTGCGGGCTTGGGCTTGGTTTGCCGGACTTCTTGCTCAGAAGTGGAAAAGTGGGCGGCTTTTTACAAGGCTTAGGACTTAAGATTTTTGAGGTGTTCTTGCTTAAGTATGTAGGAGAGGGAAAAATGAAGACTAAAAATGAGGTCTTCCTTTTATAAATGTGTGTGGAGACAACTTTCTTGTTTTTGCCATAAAGCAAAATAGCTTTCTATAAAGTAGGTCTTGTGTTAGGATATGCTGTAAAAGTTTGGCTTTCAGATATTGATAATTCCATTTTGATCTGGCAATCGTGTTTTGATCAAAGTATTTATTTTTTAAGTTTATTTATTTATGCAATCATAACTCCATTATTTTACATTGTAGATTGTATGGTTCGTCGTGTCGAACAGAAAGATCATATTATCGATTCCTTGTAAAATATAAATTAATTGTTCACAGTCTAGACAAGCAGTGAGACCCCTGTTGGAAAAAGACTGTAGTCTTGATTTAGTTGGTCTTTGACTGATGGGTTACACGAGTACTTATGATAAGTATTGAACGAATCGCGAAAGGATATGATTATAAGATTTACTGATTGTTATTATAATCTAGACCTTCAGTAATTGATGTGTACTCTTAAGCTATAAGATAATATAAAATGGACATATATATTCATTACTTATTTATTTGATTTACCAAGGGTGATTCCTATTCTGTTAGGATGATATACTCGGTATTTTGGTATGTGAGAGTGTTTATATGATGTGCCGTTATAAATTATTTACACTCACTATGTCACAGTGTGCTGGGTTGATGACCGATCAAGAAATATTATGTCAAACCCTGCAGGTGCATAATTATCCGACATAATGATTACAGGGGTGATTGTTTATGGATTCAACAAGTTTTTATTTGGTTTGCTTTTTAACTATTGTTAATTTTGAAAAAAATGTGGTATGGTTAGTTAGTGAATATATTCAAATAATATTTAATTAAAATAATTAAAGTTGATTTGATGTAAAATAGGAGAAAAATGATTGAAAGTGATGGTTAGTTAAAATTATGTGAGTGGATGAATAGTGAATTAAAGTTGATGTGATGTGTAATAATGATAAGTTGATATTATTTAATTATATTGATAATATTAGAGATAATAAAGTTGCGTTAAAGTTGAATTTTGATTGATTTTGTTACTGCAGAAACTATATCCAATCGCCCCCTAATGAACTGAATGGTACTAGTTTCAGAAATGAATAAGAAGTCGATTTATAATATTGTCAGTAATTAGATTAATTGACGAACGTTATATCTTAAACATAGGGAGCTAGATAAATCGATCAATTAGATTAATATTAATTAATCAAATGGAGGTTTGAATTTATTGAATAAATTGGAGCTAAATGGGGTGAGCAATAGTATTACTCTAGTGAGATGTTTTCTTTTTTAATTCTATTTAGGAATTAGGAAATAATTATAATCCATTAAGAGAGGAATATTCCTTCTAGAATATTACCCTAGGGTTAGGAGACTATGGAGTCTTCTAGAAGGGTGATTAAGGTTAGGAGGAATAGGAATCCTAGATGGAAATGATATGGAACATAATTAGAATTCCTAAACCTAATGGGATAAGCCCATATTTAGCACCTTTTTAAGGTTCCTAATGTAGCCTATAAATACACCATGTCCCAACCTCTTCTCCTACACATTGGTGAACTCGATTTTAAGGTTCCATTAGGAGAAGGAAAATCAAGATCTTGATATATTCCAGAGTTTGGGAGATTCGATTAATCGGACCACCAAGATTAGTCGAAGTAGGTGTTTAGGTAATACATTAGAAGACTTTAAGGTACAATTTATTCAAGCCTTTTAGTGCTCGGCCAGATATGCCGCCGTCTGCTGCCATCTGTCGAAAGCCACCCGTGCCCAGCCGCGAGCAAGCGCCCGCAGCCAATCGTCGTCATGAATTCCCCAGCGACACCCAACGACACCCGCGCGAGCCACTCGTCCCGCCTGCCTGCTCGCGTATCGCCACCGTTCGTGTTCTTTGTGCCCCGCTCCCAGCGCGAGAAGCACGCGCGCCCTAGTCCGCTCACGCATAGGATACATGCAGCGCACGCCCGCGTGATCCTAGACGCCCGCACGCCAGTCCGTATCGGCATAGGAGAGCCGTACCTGCACGCGCCCGAGGATCCCGTGCACCTACCCGCGTCTGTCACTTGTCCACGTAAACCAGCAGACGCCCGATCGCAACACGCAGCAGCTCGACCGAGTCCCAACTGCAACCAACAGCGACCCGATCGAGGCCAGCCGCGACCAACAACAACGCGACTGAGGCTAGCCGCGAATCACAACGATCCAACCAGCCCAGCCACTTCCATTCGGCCTGAACCCGACAAGTCCTTGACCCGACGATCCGTTCGTGACCCGACGACCTGATTCCGATCTAGGAGGACTAGTCCGGCTGCCCAACAGACTCTGCGGTTCAGACGATCTCCTACAGAAGAAATCAGAAACGTCTATGAGTCGACAAAAATTTTAAACGGAAATGTCCTAACACTAACTATAGATTCCGCTACATTAGGGTTTATTTCTCCAAATTCAAACGTGCATATCGTTTTCGTTCCTAACAGAACCCAACAACTGGTATCAGAGCCCAATCTTAATTAAACATTGTGCATTGTTTGTATTAGGTCTTATCTGTTTATGTGAATTAATTTTGTACAGCCGCATCACATAGTAGATTAGAAATTGCAAAAAGTTGTTTGTAGGTGATATCTTCAAAGGGTTAAAATTAGCAAAAACAGGACTTCAGATTAATCATTTGCTATTTGCTGATGATTCTCTTGTGTTCAGATTTACTGACTGTAATCATGCCTTTTCAATCATGAATATGTTGGGAAAATATATTAGCTTTACAGGCAGAAGGTTAATCTTAGTAAGTCATCATTCTTTTCTAGAAAAAACACTCCTAGATTTCTTCAATTTAGTATTTGCAAAATTGTACAAGGAATTCAGGTTCATAGGGAGATGTAAGAAAGAGGTGTTTGATTATGTGGTGACTGCTGTCAAGAAAATATTGATTAACTAGAAAGTCAATTTTTTGTCTACTGCTGGGAATGATGTTATGATAAAGGTTGTTATTGATGCTCTTCATGTTTTTATATGTCTTGCTTCTTCCTTCTTGCCTTCCTAAAGAAGTATGTAGGGAGATTACCAGGTTAACAACTGACTTTTGGTGGATCAAGGAGAATGAGCATCTACCAGGTATGCATTGGAAAGCCTGAAACTTAGTCACTATGCCTAAAGATAGGGATGACCTGGTGTTCAAAGACCTTGGTTTGTTCAATGAGGCTTTGATCCTTAAACAAATCTGGAGGATACATACAAATCCAAATTTGTTGGTAAGTAAAGTGCTTAAGGGCAGATACTTTCCTCAATGTAACATTCTTAAGGCCAAAACCTACTCTTCTACTTCTTGGCTTTGGTGTAACTAGTTGACAGTCAGGGATAAATATAAGGCCAATTTTAGAATTCAGATCAAGGATGGAGATTCAACAAATATTAGGTCTGATCTTTGGTTAATTAGACATCATAAAGGGAGTCCTAAGCTAAAAGAGAAAATAAATAGCTAGCTTCAATGGGTTCAGCAACTTCTAGAAGAAGGGGAAGATGGTGGGAGGAGATAGAACAAGACCACCTTGAGAGACCTGTTCATGGAGGAGGATATTGATGCCATCCTTAGATCTAAAACCTAGATCAAGAAGTGAAGCACAAATGGATCTGGACTTTCGATCCAAAAGATTTGTTTTATGTGGCCAACACCTATAATCAAGCAAAAATTCAGCGACCTTGATATTTCTAAATGAAGTTTGACAGGAGAGAGAGACATGAATGTCAGAAGAAGAAGTTGGAGTTTGCAAATTAAAGGAAAAATCAAACACTTTTTGTGGAAGTCTTATAACAATGTATTGCCAGTTATTTTGAATCTGCTGAGGAGAGGTGTACAGGTTGACCCTATTTGTCAGGGTTGTGGGGAAGAGATAGAATTTATTGAACATATATGTTTTAATTGTATCAGGGCTCAAAATGTTTGGAGATTTGCATCATTGCACTGGGATGACTTGAAGAAGAAACACACTAATTTCTGATTATGGTGGTGGAATATCTGCTTGCCAGACAAGAAGCTAATTATAGAGGACATAATTCAATTAGCCACTTATTTCCTCTAGTGGCTTTAGAATTCCAGAAACTTTTGAAAGTTTCAAAATACCCTCATGCCTGAAGCTGCGGTGGTGAGTGCAACTGTAAAGGAGTGGAATGAATTTGTTGAGAGGAAGAGAGCATTTTGATGGAGAGATCAAGGCTGTAATTGCTAGGTCCTGGTTTTGTTAGGTGGCGATAACTCCTTGGTGTTTCTGTAGGTGACTACTTTGCTTCTTTTTGTTTTCTGTTATGTTGTTTGTCTTCTTGTTAGTCCAAAGGGCTCAGCTGTATCCTGCTGCCTTTGGTCTTGGCTTTGTACCGTGTGTCTGATTCTTGTGGTTTAGGTTGCTCAGTGAGTTCTTGGTTGTTTTGCCAGTTTGGTCTAGGCCATTTGTGCTATATCCCTCTTGTATTAGCTTCTTGGTATTAGAGCTAGTAAGCACTCTGGTTGTAAGACGATTATTTTTTTGTTATTGACATCACTTCTATCGTTTTGAAAAAAAAAAATAAAATCAGACTTGTGCTTCAGTGTGAACCAACCATTAGCAAGAGGATCAACAAAGGTATTCATATTTCATTAGTTTCTAGAAGTCGATGTCACATTGTAAAATTGTTGACGCTTTTTCGTTTTTTAACTAATTCATTCATGAATGGGTCACTGGAGTCTTGATTTCTAGGTTTCAAAACTACTATTTTCCTCTGTAAAATTCCTAATTACGATTTACTATAGACAAAAGGTGACTATATGTAGTTGATTATTAGCAATCACAAAATATAGATCGTACATATACTAGTGGCGCGTCAACTTGTAAGCAAACCAGAGGTGGAGCCACTTGTAACGTGGCTAGGGCTGTAGTCCAGGCCAACTTTTAAGCCACCACCAATATATTATATATAAAATTCTCATCTTATTTTGAAGTTAGCCTTGCTAAATATTGGAATCCCTAACACAATTCTGATTTTTATAGACGACGAGATGTTGAAGGAAGATTGAAGCAGGCAGTACGGGGGAGCCCCATACTCGACCCAGGAGCCCCATACTCGGTCAACATAGGCCACATATATTGGACCTAACTTGTATTTTAATAGGGCCCACTTGGAGGCTTACGTCAATTAAATGGCAGCAGGTTTATGTTTGTATTAAAATAAGGGTCATGTGAATGAAAATAATATGCCCATCAATTTGGCCCAAATAAGTCTTAAAGATGAGGCATCAGAGGTGAAGGCACGCAGTCATAGGGCAGTAAAGGGGCAACCATGATTTTATTTAAATGGAGATATTCACGCAGCCCCCATCATTGACGCAAACAGAAACAGAGGGGATTTATTTGTGAAAGAATCGCCGCACAAACAGAGTACAAATACAAGGAGCCGGATCAATCGCGGAGGGAGGCTGCACCCGTACACAAGGGAGATTGTAATGGCTATTTGTTTATTTCGCATTGTCTATATAGATTTCTCTCTCTCTCTCCTAATTTCTAACTATTAATAATTAGTGATATAAAACAATGTTTGTAAAGATAGATTGTAATGGCTATTATTATATATGAAGTTGACATGTTACTTTAAAAAAAAATAATTAAAAGTCATATAGGGTCTTTAAGATTTTAGTTATGATTTGTAAGTAAACTTATGTTTATTTTGTTATTTATGTGTTGGGTCATATATACTAATTTTTTTATCAGTAGATTCCGATTTTTTTTCTTCTAATTTTGTTTTTTAACTTTTTATTTTTCTCTTGCACCCAGTCAAATACAATTACCATTTGTTGGATTCAAATTGATGAAATCTAAATGTTTATGATCAAAATGCTGCAGGGAATTTCAGAAATAGTGTAATCAATTTTTATTAAACACGTAGTCATTTATGAATTTTTATTCATGTAGTCAAAATGTTTATGAATTTCTATTAATTAGACACGTTGTAGTTTATGAAACAACCGATTTGTAATCAACTACAGTTGGTTAAAAGTTCAAAACAATAATAATAATTAGTTATTGGCGCTTCGTAGTTGGTTGTTGAACCGACTGTTACTGTTACGGTACGGTTTGAACTGCTGGTTTTCGATTCGAACTATCAGTTTTCAATTATTATTCTAATATTGAAATTTAAAAATTTCTGTAGAAACTACTGAATTTTTGAAAAAGCATTNCAAATTGTCCACCATTTATTTTTCTAAATTTTGAAAAATCAATAACATTTGATTTTTTTATTCCCCTCCCAAACTTTTCAATTTTTTTTTTCTATTTTATAACCAAACATTCTGTTGCGGTTTCTGACATTTTATAATCTATAACCGAACTGTCAAATCATAATAGGAACTACAATTAACGGTTAACCGAACCATTGACCGACAGGTCAAACCGCCTGTTTGGCGGTTCGTTTACAAACCTTGAACATGTCTATTTGCAATATTATCATATTTTATTAAACTAATTATAGCCCATGTCAATTTTTAATCCTGGCTACGCCCCTTAAGCAAACCTATGTACAAGGATAGTGAACAGAGCTTAACGTGGAGTCCACTTAGCAAAAAAGTGGATATCGCATGAAAATTGACTCAAATAAGGCGGTTTACTACAGGCATAGAAATTAAAATAAGAGACAAATCCTCTTGAAGTTGGCCCTGTATTTTGTGCTTGGATTATAGTAACGAAATCTTGTTTGTGCCATAAAATATATCATCCTTGACACACCACTTGAACATAGAAGAGAAACTGTAAAGTAAAGAACAAAGAAGAAGCAGGGTGGTCCAACATGCAAAGTATGACGCTCGCTAATGCTGGTGAGACCTTATTGAATAAAGTAATTGGTCTTGGATGATTGTGTCGGGGCCCTTAAGAAAGACTCTTTATATTCTGTATATCACTGCAAATAGAAAGAAAGAGTAAAATGTTGTTTAGTAGGGAGGGGAAACATTAATTAACTAATTAATGATGTGGTTAATAATATTTTTGGTCATATATATGTATAGTATTTAGCAACTTACATGGATGATTGGATTTGTAAGGTTAATAATGTGTGGGGGGAGGTGGTGACATGTAGTAGTATGGAGGTGGAGGCGAAGGTGATGGTGGTGGTGGGGATTTGTAGTAGTATTGTGGGGGAGGAGAAGGTGATTGTGGTGGTGGAGATTTGTATATGTAAGTGGGTGGTGGAGGCGGAGATTTATAAATATACTTTGGCGGTGGAGGCGGCGGAGACTTGTACACGTATGGTGGTGGAGGTGAAGGAGATTTATAAACATAAGGTGGTGGAGGTGGTGGGGATTTATATACATACTTTGGTGGTGGAGGCGGCGGAGATTTGTACACGTACGATGGTGGTGGTGGTGGAGATTTGTACATGTACGGTGGTGGTGGAGGGGATTTGTATACATATTTTGGTGGTGGAGGGGGTGGAGATTTATAGACATATTGTGGTGGAGGAGGTGGGGACTTGTATACGTAATTTGGCGGTGGAGGTGGCGGGGATTTGTACACGTACAGTGGTAGAGGAGGTGGAGATTTGTACACGTACGGTGGTGAAGGAGGTGGGGATTTATATACATACGTTTGTTGTGGAGTTGGCGGAGATTTGTAAACATATGGTGGAGGAGGTGGGGATTTATATACATACTTTGGTGATGGAGGTGGCGGGGATTTGTACACGTACAGTGGTAGAGGAGGTGGAGATTTGTACACGTACGGTGGTGAAGGAGGTGGGGATTTATATACATACGTTTGTTGTGGAGTTGGCGGAGATTTGTAAACATATGGTGGAGGAGGTGGGGATTTATATACATACGTTGGTGGTGGAGGTGGCGGAGAATTGTACCCGTACGGTGGAGGAGGAGGTGGGGATTTATATACGTATTTTGGTGGCGGAGACTTGTAAACATATGGTGGTGGTGGAGGTGGGGATTTATAGGGGTAAGACGCGGGGGGGTTTGGCTTAGTTGGCTTCTTGCACTCCTTGTGATCACGAGTCTTTGGAGCATAGGCGAATGGTTTCGCATATAGCACCACTTCATATTGTGTCTTGGATTTCACTTTCACCTCACTTCCCTTGTTTCCCCTATGAAGGCTCGTTGGGATGTTGCAGCTCGACCCCTTGGGTGGCGCGTGAATCTTAGCCTTGCACACCTCTGCCCCATATTTTCTGTACTCAAATCCTTCCACTCGGATGCTGTATTTGCCGTTAATCTTTGTCTTTCCATATGCCACTATTTTCTTATCACCCACTTTGCAGGTTACCTCCACAATAGCACCTGCACATTAATTAACTCACTGCTGCACTTTTACATAAACTAATGTATGTATGTATGTGTTAAGAAATGATATTCAGAGCTCAACTGTTGTTATTCTATCAATTTTTTATATTTCCCAAGCATCAAGAAATTATCTGTCAACTTGCTCTAGGACCACTCGGACATTGTATGTGCCTACGTGGACTATGCTGTAAAACAGAGTTTATATTTGTTCAAGATTGGACCACAAATCTTTATCCTCTGCCTTTCTTTACTTTTTCATCAAATGACTATCTGCCAAATAGTTTCACGTGCTTATTACCTACTCCCTATACTATTTTGTTAACAACTTCGATTCCGAAGCAAATTGCTAATGTATATAAAATGAAAAAAAATAAAAAAAAAAGATAAAAAAATTCACGTAAGTGAGATTATTATAACTAATAATTGTCTGTTTTAAAATGGTTTGCATAAGTCCACGCGTCTAACTGATCCCCAATTCAAAAGTTATACGACACCACTAATTGTTCCACTAACCAAATAATTGGACCACTCATAGTCCGTTTGACCGATTCAGCAAAACTAACATTAATTATAGTTTGTAGTTTATAATATAATAGCAGCCCTATGAATAAAATTTGAAATATTAGAAAAGTAAAGGACAGTGAATGGAGTGTACCTTTGAGATGTTTCTTGTTATGGGACTTATCTGGGTGTGCCCAGTCGTAGCACCTGTAACAATACACTTTCCCAGTCACTTTAACCACGAGCGGATAATGTGGATGAGGTGGAGACTTGACATGTGGATGTGGTGGTGGAGGAGATTTATAGTAATATGGCGGGGATTTGTAATAGTAAGGTGGAGAGGGTGAAGATGGTGGTGGTGGTGACATGTAAATATAAGGTGGTGGAAGGGAAGAAGAAGGAGGAGGTGGCGACTTATACACATATGGTGCTGGTAGAGGAGAAGGTGAAGGTGGCGGTGGTGACTTGTACTCATATGGTGGTGGTGGAGAAGGTGATGGCGNGGTGACTTGTACTCATAAGGTGGTGGAGGAGAATGTGAAGGCGGTGGCGGTGACTTGTACTCATAAGGTGGTGGAGGAGAATGTGAAGGCGGTGGCGGTGACTTGTACTCGTACGGTGGTGGAGATTGGTACTCGTATGGTGGTGGTGGAGATTTGTAGTCATAAGGTGGTGGAGGAGAAGGTGAAGGTTGCGGTGGAGATTTGTACTCGTACGGTGGTGGAGGTGAATGCAAAGGAGGTGGTGGAGACTTGTACTCGTACGGTTGTGGAGGAGAAGGCAAAAGAGGTGGCGGTGACTTGTACTCATAGGGTGGGGGAGTAGAAGATGGTGGTGATTTATGCTCGTATGGCGATGTTGGAGGAGAAGTGTAAACATAAGGGTCAGCTGTAGCCACACTAGACGCGGTCAAAATGGTCAATACCGCTGCTAATGATAGCTTAAGTGGCAACATGATACAGCCCTTTGTGGTCGGGCCATGGCCTCGAATCCACATGATGCTTTTATCGGCCTCCCTTTCGCCTATTTTAAGGTGGGTTTTCTTTGGTGGTGATGGTTTTATTTTTGAGGTGATTAGTGTGTGCATATATAGGGCAATAGAGATTGTAATGGGAAGAGTCGCTGAAATGGAGCTGTCACATTGGGGGACCATTTCTGGAATTTTAAATTCATCTCTGTGTAACTGATACAAGCAATCAGTCTAATTATGAGCTTCTTAACAGCTGGATAATCGTGTTTATTTTCTCCAATGTCCGGACCACTTCCCATCTCCTCTGTTGGGAACTAGTCACCTGCTACAACAAATAAAATTAAAATAAGTTCATCATGTGCTAAATAAATAAATATGTCTTTCTTTCTTGTTAATTATTTCCACTCTCCCTCCATTTCTAGTTGTTAAACTTATCTTATGTGAAACTTACATAATTTAGAGATGATGTACTCGTTTGAGATTTTGAGTAATATTTTAATTTTTTTTAAAATTTGAGATTTTTTTAGACTATCCAATAAGATTTTTTAATTTACTAGAACTCATTAGAAATCTTATGTATGGAGGTGTGATTTAAAGTAAGATTTCATTTATGTTATTTTGTCGTTCAAATTCCATAAAATCATGAAAAATCCAACTAAATAAATTGAATATATCAAGAGGTTTCAATACTTTTTGAAATCTATATATATAATGCTAGGCTATCTAATTAATGTAACATAAAAAATTTTCCGCCTATTTTTTAAAGTAATTACGCTAAAATCGTTATATTTTACATTAATTAATTGTAATCATATTTTATGAATTTTATTCTATCATTAACAAAATCAACTAATTATAATTCACAATAAATGGCATGTGGATATTACATAAGTGTAAAATAATAATAATAATATTAATAATTAATAATAATAATAGTAGTAGTAGAAATAATAATTAGTATTAATTAGTATTTTACTATATAATTAATTGATCATGATGCCTCAATATTCCAAAAGTTACATTATCTATTACATTTTATGTAATCAATAATAGTGATTCATTTATAATTAAATAGATTATATTATATTGTTCATTTAATAATGATCAAATTTATAAAATATGATATGTTCATTACTAATATATAATTTGTAATATTATATATATATATACACACACACACACACTTTCTAACACTTTATTTACATCTATGTATGTGCATAAAATAGCCTACTAGTCCTAAATAAATATTTCGTGTTTGTATAGAAAAATTTTCAGCCACACTGATTTTTTTGGTTAACTAGAGTTAATTTGGAAAAAGATGGTATTGTTATTAAATTTATATTAAAATAATATTCAAAATTAAATAATTAAAGTTGATTTGATGTAAAAGTATGAAATGGATGATAGGAAGTGATGATTAGTTAAAATTATGTGAGTGGATGAATAGTGAATTATATTATATATATATATATATGTGTGTGTAAGAATGATAAGATGATATTATTTAATTATATTAATAATATTGAGGATATTGTAGTTGAGTTAAACTTAGAGTTAGATTTTGAGTTGAATGAAAATTTGAGTGAAAATCTTTTACACAAACATGCTCTAAAAGTGTTTCAATAGTCTGAATAAATACACTCTACTCAAATTTAATTGAGTGCTCTAAAAAATTGAGAAAATGAAATTGCTTTGTTTGATCTGATCCCGTCATTTGAAGATTCAAATGATATTGTTGCAAGCGAGATATATATTTGGTTAAATATAAAAGATGATGTGATACTGACAGTCTGACAGTGTCAATTCAAAATTGTTATTGTTGTATTATATATTTCCTCATGGTACAACTGGGAAAGGACGCGTACACTCAACTGAAGATTCTGAATACCAACTACCAACTTATGGTTTGTGTAATTAAATATGCCCAAAGTGAAACAGTTTTAGATTACTACATAATCATGTGAAACTTTCTTCAAATTTCAAGCGAAGCGTGATTAGGTGAATTTATTTATTGGTTTTTTTTTTTCGGTAAAGATAGAAACTTTTATAGCACAAGATGTACAAATATACAAACAAGAGAGCCAAATAGCTCCTAGCAAAACCAGAATACAAGAACAACCACACAACCAATGGCCTAGAAACAGAGCAAACCAACAAGAAACACAAAAACACAAGCTCTTGGTAATTTTAATTTCCGCATACACTCACTCAAAAAGTAAAAAAATTAGAGGGTGTATGATCGGCGACGAGATCGCATTGGCATACTTGGAGAAATTTGATCCCTCCGTATTTAATTATATTTTAGTCTTTATGGTCTTTTATTTATTTCTTTTATTTAGAATATTTATTGCTTAAAATAAATATTTATTTATTAGGAAAATAAAGATAGGTTTAGGAATTTATTTATTTGGAAGAGTTCTCATTGAAGCAAACGGTTTTTACAATTGAAATAAATTTCTCTCTTTGAGTTCTCCTTTGTGAGTTCTTGAGTTTCTCCCACCGTATGTTTTTACTACGCCAGTTGGTATCAGATCGATTCGAGATGCCGCCAAAACGAAACGATAACGACCGACGTGATGCTCATTTGGAGGATTTAGATCGACGAACAGATGATCTCGGATTCCAAATTGAACGGGTTGATCGAGGGTTCGAAGGGCTTTCGGAAGGAATCGAGGAAATCCGGTCGGCTATGCGGATGTTGATGGCAGGAAACAGTATGAACCACGACCCGA